GCGAATCTGCGTAGTGAATGCTTTACCGTCATTTGTCGAGAACGATGTAAATTACGTATATGACGTCCGTTCGACGCTGGGGAAAACCACGTCACTGCAAATTGTTATTTCCTTGTAAATAAAATCAGGGGACCGTGTTAATTCCAATATGCGATTCCATCAACACATTATAAGATGGTTCTTTAGATGAACACTTGTGGAATACACAGGTCTTTAATAAGGATTTTGTCATTAAATTTTAATTTCGTTTAATCAATTTTGGACCGTTGTACATATACCGATATCGTGTATATATACGTATTAATTATATAAAATAGAAATAATATGCAAAATATGACAACAGATGGAATAAATATAAAATAATGAATACGCATTTATGATTAGCGAGCAATTATATGCGCAGTTTGAAGCCGTAGAGAAGTAAATATTGTCATATTGTGTTATCTTATTAACTTGTTTTTATGTTCGTGATGAGCGACGCTAGCAATGACGTAAACTGCTTCGCCTCTCTGTGTCGGCAGCAGCCGTTATCTGGCACAAGCGCGGCATCATGTAAACAAAGTGCACATTGACCTTTGTGAATTTTTTCACTCACTCTTGGAGTATTTACACGCATTTCGAGATAGTAAACAATTTTATTAATAATTAATATAATATATATATATATAAATATTTTTTCTAAATATATACTATACCACCTACATACGTCAAAACATTTTAGTTTTCTAAATAAGAGTGACCTACAAACCCTTATTTTTATACAGAAAAGACCATTGATGATTCTGTATCAACTATAGTTGATACTTTTTATACTTGTGGACTTGATTTTCGACATTGAAAGAGAAAGTTTGATTACGGTATCGAGAGCGGTTGACACGTCACTCAGTCACAGCGTGCAACGTCATAGTGTGCTGAGTAGTGTGTAGTGCGTACGCATGCAAGGCCAGCCGGAGTCGTTCGCCATCTCGGCTTCCTTGTTGAAATCCTTATAACTAAAACTTCAACACTATCGCTTCCTGCGTCAAAGCAATAGTAAGATGGTAGAACTCGTGTTTCTGCCTCAGAGTATGTCTGGGTAGATACCACTGTTACCTATATAGTTTGCACCTCTATGTTCCATTCTGAAGGGTTGAGAGAGCCAGTATTGTAGCCCTATTTGTAGCTTTATTAGTGGACTTGTATGTAATTTATGGATGGATTTTCTCAATGTAAAATCAGCTAAACACAAACGGGTGTATTCATAATCATTTTTAAACAGTTCATTAGTTAAAAAGTGTTTTGTCACTTTCTAGCAACAAGTATCTCGCAAATGTCAGAATGAGACAAAACACTTTTTAACTAATGAACTGTTTAAAAATGATTATGAATACACCCGAAAATCTTTAACAATTTGTTAGTTTTTTATTTGTAAATTTGATAACAAAATTAATTTAATATAATGTTATCTTTAAAATAACCAAGCGTTTGAAACGACCTAGAGCTCATTAATATCTTATCAGATAAAGTTAAATGTTTCATTTCTATTTCAGTTTTCATGTACAAAAGGTGTCATGGCCAATCCACAGCACACCAAATAATCGAAAGTGTTGCGTGTTAAATTAAACGACGGCGGTCATATTTGTAAATTTGATGGACTAAAAACGTCATATTTAATATACACTCATGGACAAAATTAGAGGATCACAAAAAAAATACATTAATAAATGCTATTAAAAAAAAGAAAGTTTAGGAATATTTTTTTCTTTCGTATTTCATTTGTTTTCAACACTCCCCTTGTTGCCTCAGCCAGTATCGGAATCCTCGGCGTCGACATATCGAGTGACGTGCAGTTTCGTGGTCACTTGGAAGAGAAGGCCAAATTGTCCTCTAAATATCTTGGCGTGCTCAGCAGAGCGGGACAGTATTTCATGCCGGCACACCACTTGCAACTTTACAAGGCGTAGGTTCGGCCTCACATGGAATACTGTTCCCATCTCTGGGCTGGGGCTCCCCAATGCCAGCTCCTTTCACTTAACCGCATCCAGCGCAGAGCAGCTCGAATCATCGACGACCGAGTCCTTTCTGATCGGCTTGATTCACTGGCGCTGCGATGAGATGTTACACCTCTTAGCGTATTTTATCGCATCTACCACGGAGAGGGCTCTGAGGAATTGTTCGGACTAATTTCAGCCGCTCAATTTCACCATCGCACATCGCAACAAAACTCCCGATACCCTCCATACCAGCTGGATGATTGGCGGTACACCACTGTGTGATTTAGAAGATGTTTTCTTTCTCGCACAACTTCCTTGTGGAATCGATTAACACCAGCGATTTTTCCGAACCGATATGGCTTAAGGACCTTCAAGAAAAGAGCCTACTTCTTTTTAAAAGGCCGGCATCGCATCTGCATTTCCCCTGGTGTTGCAGTTGTTTATGGGCGGTGGTAGTCACTTACTGACTGGTGAGGCACATGCTCGTTTACCTCCTGTTCTATAAAAAAAACACTTGTCTGCCAGAGGCCCCCTTCTTGCCACATCTCATCGAGTGGCTCGTTCATTTCGTAGATGAGTCCAGATTTGGCCTGAAGCCATATTATGGAAGCATTAATGAGTGGAGACGCCCGGAAGAGAGGTACGTTCAGTGAAACATTATTGGAAAAGGGGGCATATGGTGGAGAGTCAGTTATGGTATGGCGGGTAGTGCCATTTATCTCTCTTATAAGAAATAGATTTGTTTCTATGCATGATAATGCACACCCACATACTGCGGCCGTAGTTTTCGAATATCTTAGAGATGTTGAAATTAATGCTATGGGGTGGCTACCACCACAGCTAAACCCCACAGAGCATGTATGGGATAAGCTTGGAAGACAAATTAAAAAACAAATCCTGTCCCCGCTAATCAAAGGGATCTTAAAAACACATTACAGGAAGAATGAAACGCAATGTCTCAAGATATTATTGATAACTTACGAGTAAGGCGAGGATACTGGAACTAAGCATTTATGAAAAAAAATTAATAAAATGTTTATAATATGAAGAAATATATATGAAGAAATAGAATAGTACATATGAAGAAAAAGTATGTATGTAGTATGTACAAAAATGTTTCTTTCATTTAATTTTTTTTTAATTTAGTTAATTTTTATAATTTTATCGTTTTAATTTTAAATTAACGAATAATAAGCAAAATCTAAATTAATAAAGTTAATTGTCACAAATATCCACCATATTTTGTTATATACTTACTTTTTAGCATTCCTTTAAATTTGTCCATGAGTATACTCGTAGTTATCGAACACAAACTTTACTGTAATTTGTGGTGTAATTAGCGCGATAAAGTTAATGCGGGAAACGGCCGGCCGGCCGGCGTCGCGTCGCTTCATTAAAGGCAAACTTGTTTTCAACGCGTTATGTGATTTTAAAAATAGTTTATGATGACGATACAGTTGTTCGCTATTTCGAAATAAACTTGCGGATTCGTCTAATAAAATGTTCAGCTAAGGTTGAAGGGAAGGCTAAGACAGCTAAAGTTTGCCGTGTAGTAATGAATAAGTAAATAAATGTAAGGCTTAAACCTTAAGGGAAATATTTATAAAGTACGAGGATAATATAAATTATCCTCAAGTAATGTTACTTAACCTGCTTCTTGAACCAATCTAAGGATTGAGCATGTTTAATCAACAGAGGTAAGGAGTTCCAAAGCTTTACTCAAAAAACATAAAGAGATTTATTATAAAATGTAGAGGAGTGCACAGAACAATGGAGATCGTCAGTGAGGAGGAAAATCAGAATACACTACTATTTATGAGAAAAGAGAGAATATTTGGGATGTTATGGAATTTATGAAGATTGCGAAAAGATGAGGAGAAACAGTTCAGTAAACATAAATAATTACAAAGATTTTACTTAAATATAATATAGAACCTTAATAATATTTTTAATACACGATTTTATCTGAAAAGTTGATAACAAGCATTAGTTACTGTGAAAAAATAAAATTCATTCGCGTGGCTCTAGACGTATAAACGCAGGATAAATCTTAATCCAATTATGTACTGTTGTTTGTGGTAAATGGTAACGGGGTCGAGTGCGACCGAATTTCGAACGTGCGTGTTTCTCCGAGCGTACAGACGAGGACCAGTTTTGTGCGATAGCCTTTTGTTGTCCACGTATACGGATATTTTTATTTTGGAACTTGATAATGGAATCAGGTGGACACAAGCCAAGGATATAGGATAGTCTTATCATTTTTGTAATAATTTGTTATTGCCTGCCAGTAAGCAAGAGTGTTTTGATGGCAATTACGTAATATATAAGATGAACAAATCATGCAATTTACTGAGATATTTGTTGCACGACTACGGGTTTCTCGGCACAAAATTTCCTTTTCAGGTTCAGGATAAACTGCGGTAACGGTAAATTATGGTAGTTACAAGTCTTTATACGTAACTGATGCCGATTATAAGTATTATCATTGCCCCTGTATAATAGAGATGCGACTAGAACAATTTCATTGCAATTCGATAAGCGTCATAGTGCAGTTGCACATTGATTGCTACATAATGCGCGATGAGTGTTAGTTCTGCGCCGTGCATCGCGCTGCACGTGCGCCGGGTCAATAGCTTGCAGCGCCCCCGCACGGCCTGCCTTTGTCTTCATATATATTATGTTGTACCAATGTCAACACGATGCCAATGACAACTAATCGCGATATCTAACGATATCTGTTGCAACCGTAGCGTAGATAAGTTTTGCAAGAACATAATTTTAATTTCGAATTTGAAAACTTTTGTAACACCATAGGGTCATGAAATGCGCTGGTGCACTACTCATAGTATTTATAATTGAAAGCTATTATAAAAAAAGTTGATTCTGATGATTCTAAATCTTCAAAATCGACTCTATTGTAGAGTGCCTATCGTTGAAATCTTTTACAGACATGTTGATAAAAGTTCAATTTTTTTTTATAATAATTTTTCCTACTTTTAAAAAAATCATAGAATTAATTGTACTTACTTCAGCGGCAGGTGTGTGCACCTGGACACGCAGCTCGTCAGTTTCATGGTCATGACAGAGCACGTCCGCACGCACTTCTCGGCCATTGTGGGTGAGGAAGACGCGCTGGCCGGGCTGAAGACGCACGCCAGTCAGCCCGCGGAAACCGGGCCCGATCAGCTCTGCGTCACGATACTCACGGCTCACTTTACCGCCATCGAACCGTACTGTATACCGTGTATTCGGCGTTAAATTTATACAGTTGTTATTCTCCGGGAATGGCGCCGGCGTCTTCACCGCCTGAATCATACCAGAATAGTATAATCCGTCCTCTCCAAGCGCCGCGACGCGCGTCCCTATGATGGAGCGCTTCGCAAGCCGTTTCCCCGTCGACATAATGGTAACAGTCCTTGCGGAATATGTTGCGACTGCACTTACACGCACACCAAACGGGGTCCGGTTGTCCACACTCTATTTTCTCTCACAAGTTCACTGAAATTTCAAATCGCCCGGCGTACACGTTTCGCGGGATATCCGTCACAGAATTTTGGCAAATGAGAATTTCGACGCGATTCCGTACGTTGGACGCGGTTCGGCTCTTCCGTGGGCCGAGGCTGATCGCGGCACTCGCACGAAAACATAATACGTAGGCAAGGTCCTCGAAGATCGGGACAAAGGAAAATCCTTTCGCGGCAGAAAACTTCGCACGCAAGCTCGCAGCGAACGACCTCAATAGATACGGTTCAAACGAGAACTGACTTGTATTGCGTGCGGTGCGGCGCGACACCGGCCGGCCGGCAAGCGGGAGCGGCGACCATCCGTCTCACTTCTTTGTTTTGATACTCAGCTGTTCGCGACGAGATAAGGAACACGGCGTGCGGGCGGAGTGCGAGCGAGAGAGGCGTTCGGTTGACGTCGGACCGCCTAGCAGTTCGGGCAGCCTCGCTTTTTGGTGTTGGCGGTGAGTGGAGTGCAGTCGGCACCCACGCCCGACATTGGGCGCTCCGCGCAGGTTTGCACATGCAGTGGACGTAGCGCTAACGGGATTTCACAACGCACCTCTGCGATGCCGGTGCTCGCTTGCCGGCTAATTCGTGACACAGTTTCTATTCGGATTCGGGGTCGATTCAAATGTCAAACAGATGCACCCCACTTATGCAACGCTATTAACGTGACCTCGTTACGTGTACGCACATATTGGATAATTAGGGCAATTGTCTAAGCACTTTAAATCTTCCGTATTTTTCAAATCTCTCTTTATTATTTTTTATCTATAGGAAAGGTGATAAAAATTAAAAGATGTATTTGAATTATGTACACATATTTTTATTTTCTATTACCATAATATTAATAATATTTGCATTGCTTAGTTATGATCTAAAGTTGTTAGGTACGTCATGTTATCTATCATGCTTAGACACTTTCATGGATGGTTCATATTATATAGTAACTGAAGACACTGCTGCTGAGATGGTTTGGCCATGTCGAGAGAATGAATGAAGAACGATTGACGAAAAAAGTGTATAAGCCGAGTGTGAATGAAAGTGTTGGAAGGGGTAGACCTAGGCGGACATTTCTAGACCAAATCAGGGACGTCTTGAAAAAAGGCCAGGTCAAGAGTACCCTAAACCGTAGAGCATGTATGAAGGGAATAATGAAAGTGGACGAAGCAAAACAAGTATGCAAGGATCGTAGCAAGTGGAAAGAACTGGTCTCTGCCTACCCCCACGGGAAAGAGGCGTGATTATATGTATGTATGTAAGACACTGAGGCGAAGAGATAGAGTTGAGGGATTCCCTTACGTTGCCTGCGCAAAATCCAATTGAAATAACGCAAAGAGCCGTGTCTAATCAGGGGATGAGAATTCATCTTAAAATTTTATAACTTGCTAACAAATCGAGCTTGACTTCTGCGGCAGCGATTAAATTTTTAATTGCTATTTTAAGTGTTAAAGATGAAGGAAAACGTTAAGTAAGCCTGCAGTTACCGTTACAGCCTATTAAAGACCACTGCTGAACATAAGCCTCCCCATAGGTTGCCCTATTGGAGGATATTTGGCATAGTTACCACGTTTGACAAGTGGGTTGACAACCGCAGTTTTTATTATGCATTTCTTCGAAATTTAAACAAGCGTTCTTTTCCTGAAATTCTCACATAAATGAAAAGAGGCCTGTGCTCAACAGTGGAAAATTATAAGCTGTGACATCACTCAGTGGTAAATAAAAAATGACTTTCAATACGTATTATGTAATAATCTATACTGAATAAAAAATATTCTATTCCAATCTATTCGTATAAACGTTTGTAATGCTACTGTAGAACTAACTCAACACACGAAAACGATACAGAAATGCTGTAAGGCCTTTATACTGCTTTGATGTGTTACTTGGGTAGCCACCGTTATCGATATTTTATCGATTTTATTAATAGATTAAAACAACAAACCGCGGTAGCTTCGGTATTGATAATTCGTTGATAATGAATTTCTTAATAAAATATCTTTTTGAAATATATTTAACATTATTGGGTTAAATCAAACTAAAACTAAATTTTTTGTAAAGTAAAATTTATTCCTCCACAGACTAAGACTTTCATTCAACCTCAGATCACTCCAAGTCTAAAGCTTAAGTATAATTTTAGATAATTACTAGACTTCATGGTTTTCTGGACTTTCATGACCATTTTATTTGAAATCACACAGAGCCCTAGGGACATTCCTAGTAGTATCAAATATACTACTAATATTAATAGGGTTTAATATAACATAGACAACCCCCCATAGATGGCCTCAAAAGGGGGGATATTTTCCATAGTTATCATGCTTGGCAAACGGGTTGGCAACCGCAGTTTCTAATTTTTAGGCGTTATTAGGAAGACGCTGCTGTCTCTTACGACACCCACGGGATGGGGTTGGAGACACAATTAATATTTGGATCCAAATATTGTGTGCATCGATAAAAATATCTTTAATTTAGGTACTCTATTATTTAATTTGATTGTACGAATATATTTTCACACAACAGTCGCACAGCTTTACAATATAAGATTTAACAAGTGGGATGCGGGAAGTAAAGACTGTGTAAGAACCTCCGAAGGAGGCGGAGTTATGGCCGAAATAAGAATTTTTAATTTTTTTGATTTTTGGCCTTTTTGATCCCCTAGGAATGTAATGAGAACTTTTTGTTCCTATTCAACCATGACCCCCATGATAGGCTATTCAAACTGACTATGCCTAAAGTTCGAGCCACCCCCCAATTTTTTGGTTTTTGGTCATTTTGACCCCCTAGGAGTGTAATGAAATATTTTGCCCCAATTTAACCATGACCCCCCATGACATCGGCTACATGAAAGGCTAATCAAACTGACTAGGCCTAAAATTCTAGCCCCCCCCCCCAACTCATTTCTAGTCATTACTTCCAATAAATATTAAACTTTTTATAAAATGTTATATTACATTTTATAAAAAGTTTAATATTTATTATTTATCGATTATTTAATCGATATAAAAGACCAAAATAATATCTACAAAATAGCTTCTCAAGTGGTAGTATCTTCTGAAGTTTCTTTTTACTCTTTTGAGTGGACTGACGAACATTCCTCATGTGTTTTAAGAATATTCATCATGAGTTCAAGGTAAAAACTAGAATGTCATCTTAGTAGTTCCAAATTTTGATCTCCTTTTTGTTGGATATTTATAATTTTTTAATATACCCCTGAAATATAACCTATTTTAAGAAAAGAATCATGTAAATTCGTGTACTTAGCCGTTTCCGAGAAATAGATTAGACGTGAAAAGATTTAACGTCGAATATAGAACCTTCTCCTATATTTATCTCGTGTAAAAAAGATTCTTAGTACCTATATACTATCTGTGGAAGATATAGAATTGTGCATTTAATACGAGTTAAAATATTTCTTTTTTTTAAATTTTAATACGAGTTAAAATTATCTTTCAGTGATTATTGGACATTATATACTATTTAAATTTAGATTTGTGTCAGTTTAGTTTGTACACCTATATTTTTACACTACTTTATAATTATAAAACGTAAACACTACATACTTTTTAAGCTCACTGTTATTTAAAATTGAAATATTTAATTATTTATATTATTTTAATTTTAAAACAATATAAATAATATAAAACTTAAATAATATACAGGGTTATTTTGCAATTACCGGCCAAATTTACAGAGAAGGTTCAAAATAAGTAATATATAGGCAAACGGTGAAGAAAAATTAATTAAAAATAATCTCAAGTATTCTGTCCTTTTTTTAATTCAAAATGCGTGGTAATGCATTATTTCAACTGACGCACACATTCGTAAGGGTCGATCGGTAGGCAAAAACGTTGTTGCCCATAAATCACATTCAATTTGGGATAATTTCAAATAAAACGCTTCTATCGTTACTTACACATATTTTCAAAAACTGCAATAACGGTATATAATTATTTATATATGTATTAGAACTTAAGTTAAAAATTTGGCTATTCTTTGTAAAATAATTATTTTGTAAAGTAACTGAAAATACCTTTTTACTTGGTAGAGCCATGCTGCAGCTATATTACTGGTATAGTTGTAGCACGAATGGGTCGGCTCGGCCGGGGAAGGACCACGCTCTCACAGAATACCAGCGTAAAATAGCAGCATAACGCTGCTGTGTTTTGTATGGTGAGTGTAGAGAACCGGAGACCCTTTTTACTGGAAATGAGGCATTCCATCTTAGTCCTCACGGGTGACAACGCATCTGCATTTTGATTCGTAATACAAGATAGATGTAGATGTCTATGGGCCACAGCAACCACTTACCATCAGGTAGACTGTGTGATCGTTTGTCACCCTAACTCTAGAAAAAAAAACCAAAGAATTTACTGTGTAGTTACGTAGTAGGTACTCTCATTTATTCTGTAGTGTAGGGAAGGTATAGATCCTTTTCCTATATTAATCTCGTTTAAAAAAAATTCTTAGTACCTATATTCTATCAATGGAGAATTGTGAATTTAATATGAGTTAAAGTATTTCTTTGCCGGCGGGAATCGAACCCGGGTTGCTCGTGTACTGTGAAATTTATAGCGAGCGCTTAGCCCCTGAATATATAGACGATATGAAAAGGTAATATGACATTAGTACTGCGATCGACATTCCGTGTGCCGAGCTTGACAATCTGGATAAATCTTCCTTTCTGAGAGGCACATGTCCAGCAGTGGACTGTTACGGTGAAGTAAAACGTGTAATTAAAGTTTTTTTTAAAACGTTACCCTCACTAGTAGTTTCTCCTGTATCGTGTAGGCAGTTTACAAACATAAAATGCACGAGAACAAACATCCAGATAAGGAAAACAATTATTTCTAGGCCATACAAATACTTGTTCCGTGCGAGATTCGAACCCGCGGC